CCCCCCCCCCCCCCCCACCCAAACTCGGAACTTTTGGCCTCCTCCATCTGGTGACTCTTCTCCAGATGGGCCCGCTCCATCTTCTTCAGCAGCTTCTGGATCAGTTTGAAACCCTAAACCCGAGGATTCGGTTTGAGGTTGTACGATTTCGAGTTTAGGGGTTTTGTTTTGAGGGTTTAGGATTCAGAGTTTAAGAGTTCTGTTTTGAGGGTTTTAGGATTTAGAGTTGAGGAGGTTAGTTTTGAGGGTTTTAGGATTTAGAGTTTAGGAGTTGGGTTTTGAGGTCTTGTTTAGGTTTCAGGCTTTAGGGTTTAACCCTTACATTAACTTCATCACAGCACTATAGTAGGCGGCTCCTGCAGTGTCCTGGAAACGATTCCCTGCACGTTAGGGTTACCGGCTTTAGGGTTTGGGGCTTAGGGTTACAAGGGTGTGTTGTTTGGTCTTTAGAACTGAAATCTAAGGCTCGTGCTTGCGGTCGTGGTATGCAGTTTAGGGCTTCTGCCCTCTCATGGTCAACTCATGCTTCGTGTAAGTAGACAACGCATCTTCCAGCAACACGCGTCCTCTTTGGTAATGACCGCAAATACGACAAGCCACGATCTCCAAAAACGGCCTCTTCTATTCACTTCCCGAATGCAGCATCTGGAGGGCAGTGATTCAACCGAAAGTGCACAGGGAGAGCTTGCGAGCCTGCAACAAATGTACGAAACCCTAAACTGCCCAACCAGCCACCATCCACTGCCACGTAAAGTCCTCCTTCTCCTCGGCCATAGTTTCGGCGTTGATCACCTCTTTGTTTCTCGGGCTGGCCATGTGTTTGACGGCTTAGGCTTTGGGTTTTACTTGGGGGCCAGCAGGATTTGCAGCTTTATTCATGCTGCAGTACGTAAGAGCCCCCTGCCATCCGAACATCATCAAACGAGGAATCGGATGAACAAGAAGCGTGGGATTTAACATACGAGTCGCTCTCTATGTCAAAGCATAAGAGTCTTACAAAAAAAGCCCTGACCCCCCAGCCCTACACCCCACGCCGCCCTCTCAGTTCCAAATATGCAAGAGCAAAATCAATCGGAAGATCGTCGTGTCGATCACTTACCCCAAGCCCCCCCAAGCCCCCCAACCCTTAACCCCAAACCCTAAACCCTAAACCCAGAACCCTAAACCCTGAACCCTCAACTCTAAACCCACAAGCCTCAACCCTAAACCCTAAACGCCAAACCCTAAACAGAAGCTGGAGTTTGGGATTCGGACTCAAGGGGGTCCAGGATTGAGGGGTCGTTGGGGTAGAGTCTAGGGTTCAGGGTTTAGGGCTTAGGGAAGAGTTTTGGGGGCAGAGTGTTGGGGTAGAGTCTAGGGTTCAGGGCTTAGGGTAGAGTTTCGGGGATCGTCGGGTTCAGAGTTTGGGGGTGCAGCCTGGTTTAGGTTTCGGTTTTGGGCTTAAGTTGGGAGAAGATACCGACACGTGGAACAAGATCGTCACCCGAAGACGCAACGCTGCAAAAACAGCACTCGCTGCAGAAACGCGGTCACTGCTGGTTGTAATGAATCAGTAAAACGTCTCCGGTGATAAGCCTGCTGACACTCCCAGCTACATCTCCGATTGTTTTCTCACACAGCCCATCATGTCATGACCAATACCCATTCAAAAATCTTCCTATGCAGCTACAATGTCATCCAAACCTTGACCTTTCAAATCTGCACACCTGAAACTGAAACTTTCTATTGTTCCGGAGTGGCACAGCAAGACTTGGGTGGTTCTGATTTGGCTCTGCTACAACGAAAAACTATTCCAACTCGGCACCCGATCGAGCACATCTGCAGCAGTAACACCAAGAACCATTCAACAGAGGCCGTCCGGAGTTCCTACTGTTGATGATATAAATCCAGCATTACCTTAAGAAACCTAAACTACAGGAATTATGGTATATTCCTAATTATGGGTAATGTCATCAACCGTAGTGCGAGCCTCCGAGTAGAGTTCAGCAACCTCGTTTCTGCGAGATGCTGCCTGCAAGTGCTCTCGAAACTCGCCGGATAGATTTAAAAAAGTAGGGTTCGTGGTTTGGGTACACAGAGACCTGACAAACCCTGAAGTACAGGACATTCCTGAAAGCACACTAGCGACCAGAAGCTCTCCTTCTTTGGGGTTTAGGGTTTAGGGCTTAGGGTTTAGGGTTTTGGGTTTAGGAATCATTCACTTCTTTTTGTTTTTCCGCTGATGCTCACCAACTTTTCTCATGGGAGTGGACCCAAGCCGAAACCCTATTGAAAGAACCATCAAGGCGAGGGGTAGCATCGAGAGATACTTCAGGGCTCCCAGGCTCAAGATCAATTTTCGGGCCTTCGGGCGGCAAGTCCAAGCTTTCCAGTTTTGGGGTTGTGGTGTCAGGCTTTAGGGGCTGGTGCTGCGTGGAATCTGTAGGAAGTTGACAGGGCAACATATGAGAAGCCCACATGACAGCCCCCGCTGGGCACGCGAAGGGTAAACTTACTGCAGCTGAAGAATTTGCAAATAAAACATGTGTGTGGCTTCGGAACGTCGTGGCTCTGTCGGAGAAGTCTGTCTGAGGCACGGTTCAAATCAAGATGAGCCTTGCTTCGTGCATTTGGCTGTGCTTTGCTCAACGCTTGCGACTTCGTGTAGCTAAGTTTTTTGATTGCCAACTGCATTGTAGAGTATTTCGTGCTGCTCTGCCTCATCGTCGTAGCTGCGATATGATTTAATGTTTGCTTGTCCTTTTGTCCAAGTGTTGTTGCTGCTGGCTTAGATGGCGCTGATTGAGCACCATGATGATCATGACGGCCACCTTTCTGAAAAGCTCTGAATTCAAATGACTTCTCGAGCCTCAGCGGTTGCCGATGCAACCTGCACACTGCGCTTGTTCTACGCGACCGGTCTTCCGCAATGACTCTCTCGCCAGCTTTTGCCTAATGCTTTAACCGAACTGCGGGTTAGAAACATGGCAGGCCTGGTCTGCAACATAGTTTTCTATCGGAACAACATGGAGGGTTTCCGAAAATTGAGGACCCTAATATAGTAGGATCCTTGTTACGAGAACCAAAAATAAGGTACTCCTTATTTTCGGAAACTCCTACATGGCCCTCTCAAGTCGGAAAGGGTGCCTTGCTCTCGATGTGCATCCGATCAGTGCGCAGCCTGCGCTTCTCCTCCTGTATTGCCAGCGAGGTGCGAAAAGCTCGTAACTGAGAAATATCCACTGATTGGATTGGAGAACTAATTTGGGGTTCCTTATCACAGTTACAGCATATTTACTCGAAAGCCCGCTTGCACTTGGCAAGCCCCCTCCTTTTTGTTTGTTTCTTGATCAAGGATCATGTGCATCTCAGGAGCCCAGCAAGATGACCACAAGACAGATTGCCTCGAACTCCGACACTCAAAACTTTGGGGCCAACACCCAAAACGAGCCTGTGGCGGTGTCCTAGGGCTGTTTTGCCTCTGCAGAGCCATCCCTGCAGCGCGGCAAAGTGAAGCCTGAGGCCCCACAGTGCACCTCTGATCCCCGCTCTGAAACCCCCCTATACCCTAAACCCTAAACCCCAAACCCTCCCTAAATCCTAAACCCTAAACCCTAAACCCCTGATACCCTGATACCGAAATATCTCAACCCGTTTTGGGAATCTCCTCGACTTCTTGTCTCGCACGCCTTGGCTTGGGGCTTGGATAAGGGTTCTCGGAGCTTCAAGCTTTGATTAGGGAGTTGGGTTTTCGAGGCTGGTAGAGCTGGACAGCATCAGGACACTGGAGAAATGGTGTGTTCGAGCTTAAGAGCTCCGAAGGGTTTGGGTTTGAGGTCAGGGTTTTGGGCTTCAGGTTTTTTTAAGTTGGAATCAAGCTTCTTTCGACCCCAGTGCCCTGGTTCTCAACTGCAACTCGAGGGATTCTGAACACCGGTGGTTTAGGGTTTAAGGGCTTTACAGGTTCAGTTGGGGGAGGCCTTGTTGTAAAACTGCTACTTCGCGGTCGGAGGCTTCCTACCCATGTCGACTCAGATGCAAACCAAAATCTGGATGGTGCACCCGCCTGGGGCTTGGTGAAGCTTTGTGGACCATAAATGGACAGTAGTACGAGAGCTTGACCTGAGGCATCTGCCGCACCTCTTCCTCTTTCTCTGCAGCGCGGTCTGCGAATGTGGCAATTCTCTCCTGTCCATGATGAGAGTTTGATGAGATTCGGAGTTCACCCATTTAGATACAGGCCGCAGACATACTCAATCCTGATGTAATCCGACTACAATATACCCTCAAGCCTAGGCCCTATACCGAAAAAAAACTCCAATACCTAGAGCAATTGGATCCGACAGCAGAAGCAACTGACACGCACAGCCCCCCTAAACCCTAAACCCTACACCCCAAACTCCACTTTCGGGCACGACCTCACTCCCGAACCGTCCCAAGCTCCTGGAGCTCTCGAACCTGGTGGGGCAGGCAGACTTCAAAGGGAGGGTTTCACTGGGTGTTTAGGGGTTTAGGGTTTAGGGTTTCGGGTTTAGGGTTTAGGGTACTGTGTTCATAGGTTTTGGGGTGAAGATTCAAGGTAGCTGAGGGCTTACAGCGTTTAGGATGTAGCACCGGGGAGAACACAGCCCCTTTACATCCGCGTCCGTCTCGACTGGGCTCGAACCGTATGCCCCGCTTGAAGCCTTGATGTTGCACTTTTTCAGATAACCCTACCCTACAGCTGCATCATCCCGACCTTCATCATCCTACAGCGGCCACGTACAGCGCGCTAGGAATATGTGCTTCCGGAACTTGACACCTTTTACCCAAGATCTTCCGATCCTGTCTTTGCCGTCACCGACCACAGTAGAGTTTACTACTCTTCCAAATCAAGATTTCGTGTGGTATTTTTCCTACTAAGTCAGAAGCCGTAGCGGATACTTTTGCTACAAGCCCCAGAAACCACCTCGACCCTGAAACCACTGTTTTGGCCTCTTGGCTGCGCTCCCCAGCGACCTGCTCGTAGTCGCTGGCCTGGCGAATGCACCGTTCGTCCGGAATTTCCCCTTTCCTTGTTTTGTCGTGGATCTGTCAACAAAGGGTTTAGGGTTTAGGGTATCCCAGCCAAAACCTCGGCAAGTGGGGCTTTCGTGCTTATTATTGTCGATTAGAGTAAATGTCAAACACACCCTCCCCACCTGCTGAACGAACACCCGGCGCCGAAGCCTCAACCCTGAACCCTGAAACCCTGAAACCCTAAACCCTAAACCCTAAACCCTAAAACCCTAAATCCCCGAAGCCTCACGTGCTCCCTGTCAGCCTTCTGCTCGATTTCGGAAAATTGCCGGCACTTCAGGCCTGCGGTTTAGGGTTTAGGGTTTAGGGTTTAGGGTTTAGGGTTTAGGGTTTAGGGGCTTGGGGTTTTTATGATTCTATGAGGGAGGGATACTATATGGGGCTGGGGGTTGGTAGAGGGCCGAAAGAATTGGAACAGAAAAAAGAACTCCACGTCGGCTGGCCTTTGCAGCAAAAAACGTGTGCTTGTGTTTGAGACAGGATGGAGGAGCAAAAGTTTGCAGCTTGGGGCCTGGGATTGCAGCATGATCGATCGACTCGCAATTTTAGAGTCAGCAAAGCAGCTTGCATCTGTCCGGACGCAGCCAGAGCAAGAAACATCCGCCATGTAGTGCTGAGTGCGCCACTGAGCATCTTTGAGATCTGCTTGTTTTCGGCAGCAAACTCCTTCTGCTGTCAGAATCAGCTTCAACTTCAACATGTTTTGTCTAACATGTTTTGTCGGGAAGGGCTTTTGCATCTCCTTCCAACTTCATGGAAAGATGCTGTGCAAACTCGACATGGGCTGACTTCCTGCCTTCACACACTGTCCGATACAAATCTCCTGCAACACCTCTACCAATAGAGTGCAAAACCTCCCTATCTTGCTGCCTGAATTCTTAAACCCTGGCTCTACATCCTCGTTGCGTTGGCGGTTGTGCATGCTGATGAGCTTCGGAAGGCTCTCACACCTCGGCACCCCGCACTCGCAAAGCACAACACACATGGCATCAAAACCAAAACCAAGACCTCAAATTCCACTCATTGCCTTTGGCAACACCCTTATCTCTGTCACAACCTAATCCGAGCAGGCACAAGAAGAGGAGTACAGCACTGCATGCATGCGGCCAAGACCTGGAGCATGCTCAAGTCTGAGGGTCTTGCCGAGTCCAGCCTTCTTCCAGGCTCTCAAGCTCTCTTTGCAGAGAGACTAGACACTTCTGTGCGAAAACGCATAACAATGATAAGCAGAAGACAGAAACAAATCAGCATCACCACAGCGATATCCAGCATCAGAAAGACATCATCTCCATCCTCACCACCATCACCACAACCACAATCTCTCCCCATCCGATCCTCATCCTCGTCATTCACACCTTATAAACCATCATCCTTTTCATCGTGCTGAGCTTGACGCATGAATGCGGCTGCAGACAGCTTGTCTGCCCAGAAGTCAGCCTCACAACAGAAAATATAGGGGCCTTTCTAATGACCTAACTATTCTGGGGGCTCCCTATATAGAATAATATACCCCCAAAGCCTATTCTAATTGTTAAGGCCTCTATATTATGCTACTGGTTCGGATGTTTAGGCACTCGGCGGCCTCGTCGTCGTTCTCGAGCACGATAGACATGGCCAGCTCACCATTTCGGAGAATGCGAATCTGGACAGGATCGCTTCGGTATGGTTTTGGGTTATCCGATGTGAAGCATTAGGTACATATTGTATTTCTTCATGGGTCCCGCCTCGCTACATGGATCACCCAGACAAAACAGTGAACTTTGCGGTTATTGTTAACCACCGTGAAGACCAGACTGGAAACCCAACTTCAACAATCCTTTCACGAGCGAACAAAAGCATTCGAAGTGAGCAAAATAAAGGAGCCTCGCTGTCATGCAACTCCACATTGGCCCCCTGCCTGAAGTGACTTGCTCTGAGATCATTTATTCTTGGGGAGGGGGGAGGGTTCCTCGGTTTCATGCCAAAAACCAACTACGAAGTGCTCCCCGGCAAAAGTAGCCGAAATAAACACACCAATGTTCCTGACAAGTTCGACTCACTTACCAAAAGCATGGTCTCCAGAATTCAGGAGGGTTGTCTTACCTGTAGCCGCTACCTTTTTAGGGTTCCTTATTATGTTCCTTATTATGGTTTCTATATCTAGTTCCTTAGAACGGAAGGTCTTTTGGGCCACAGGTATGCTATGTCACGAGTTCCGAGTGCAAGCTGGATTGCAAAAATGACTGAAAATAAAAACGTCCAAAGAACACAAAACTGCGAATGCGTAGGAGAACCCAAAGAGAGAGAGTGCTTCGAAATTACAACCTCTGCCCTGCAGCAGGAAGTTCTGCTTCTGCAGCCGATGTGCAGGTGGATAGATCCTTCTGCCAGTCCCGGCGCCTGCTTGGTCAACAACTTGTGGGTTCATTCAAGCCGTGACTTTAGGTTGGGGTGTAGGTATTTGCAAGGCTTGTCTCCTCCAATGTGCTTTCCTCAGGCTGTGGCCGTGCCGTACATCAGCAGATCTCCGACCAAGGTAATGTGACCTGCTACGTTTGCGCTGTTGCACCTTAAGCTCCAAATTTGAACCCCGAGCTCCCAATAGGCTTCCGAAACGTGAGTTTCACGCGTCGGTGGCTCGTGAGCGCGCCCGCAATGTAGCAGGAGGCCTGCATCAGGATGTGCGGCTGCGACTACCGAAGCACAACGCCCCTGCCTCTCCAGTCAAACTGGTTGCCGTTGACGGCCTCTTCTTGACAGGAACCTTTGCACCAATGCGATCGATTACAGTTCCATTTCATTCACACGGCGGTCTCAGTGTGCTGCGACAGACGTTGCGCTGGCATAGCAGCAACAGTCCGTCTGGTATGCGATGAAAGCTATAGCGCCACCTGGCGTGACGAGAGAAGTTACTACCCCTCGTCCGGCTAATGCTGATACAAACAAAGCTAAGAAAATGGACCTCAAAACCAATCTGCACATGGAGCTGCGCAGCAAAAATCCTAATCACACGCGCTCGTGGCCTGCCGCCATTGCGGCTGCAGCTCCAACGGCGGCCATGGCTCAAATGCACCTTTGCTATGGAAACAGCAACTCGTGGACATTGTGCAAATTGCCTGCTTTTGTCACGGCCTCAAACAAACCAGTTTTCTTGGAACAGCAAACCGCTGGTGGACGAGCATGCCAAACACTTTCAGCGACCTGTCAAGCAATCCTGACCAATGAAAAGTCTTCCTGCGGAAAAACGGCAAACAAGTCCGGCAGGACGAGCGCTTGTGAGAAGAATACCAACCGCATGCCCAGGCATGAAAACAGTCACCAAGGCTATCACAATCATGGTCGACATACTGATTCATCTGCAGTCACGCTCCGCTTGTGGTTGCAATCAGTTTTCACCCTGAACGGCTCAAACCAAGAAGCCTCATCATCATCATCATCATCATCATCATCACAGCCAAATAGGGCAAGGGCTCGGAAAATTCCTCACCGGCTGTTGCATGTCACCATCTCACTCACGCTTTGAACCTGTTTCATGAACATGGTAACTTTATTGCATTGACCAAATTACGCATCGACAATGACGACGACCACAACACCAACACCAACACCAACACCAACACCAACACCAACACCAACACCAACACCAACACCAACACCAACACCAACAACAACGACCACAACAACACCAACACCACCACCACCAACAACAACAACA